GTAAGTCACAAATACGATGAACAGATTTCATTTTAATATGTGAAACATATTAAATCTGAAAGACTGTGTCTTTTTCCTTTTGGATTTAACATAACTAACTTCTCCCTTTTAGAACACCTTGTAGGGTTTATACTGATAAAAGAAGTGTTCTCAGACAAAGCAGGTAGGAAACGCTAAGTTAAGTCTCACTTTGCTGGTGGTAGGGAGATGAGTATTTATTTATTTATTTATTTATTTATTTATTTATTTATTTATTTATTTATTTTGAGTTAGAGTCTCACTCTGTCACTCAGACTGGAGTGCAGTGGCTGCTCCTGGCCACCGCAGCCTCGACCTGCTGGGCTCCGGCGATCCTTCCGCCTCAGCCTTCCCAACTGGAACTACAGATGCGCGCTACCACGCCCGGCCAATTTTTTGATTTATTGTAGAGATGAGGTCGCACCAAGTTGCCCAGGTGGGTCTCAAACCCGCGGGCTCAGGCAATCCACTCACCTCAGCCTCCCAAGGTGCGGGATTGCAGGCTGAGCCACTGAGCCCGACTGAGATGAGTATTTAATAATGTTTCATTTGCTGGTGGATGGAGTTCGAGGAAAGTGGGAAGTTAGAGGTGGTTACAGGTGAAATACATACAGAAGGTAAAGACTGAACAGAACTGCTACAGGTCATTAGAGAGAGTGAGCAAAGCACTCTTGGTATAGTAGTTTTGTCATTTATTGAATAGTGTAAATCTAAAGCCTATTTATTATTTGGCAGTTTTTAAATTTTGTTATAAACTCATCATCAATCAATTTTTAAAAATAGAAGTATGCATTTAATAAAGAACAAAGTGCTAAATTTCAATTCAGTATTTAACATACACAAAATGTCTATTGACAATTACCATCCACCATGAGAGTTGTAGTGATATCACTGACCATATAACAACCAGAAGATATAACATCTACTTAAAATGTTAGGAATTATTTTAAGAATATGTTTCAGGCCGGGCTCGGTGGCTCAACCTGTCTTCCCAGCACTTTGGGAGGCTGAGGAGAATGGATTGCCTGAGCCTGCAGGTTCAAGACCAGTCCAGGCAACTTGGTGAGACCTTGTCTCTACAATAAATCAAAAATTAGCTGGGCATGGTAGCGTGAGCCGGTAGTTCCAGCTACTTGAAAGGCTGAGGCAGAAGGATCGCCGGAGCCCAGCAGGTCGACTCTGGGGTGGCCATGAGTGTGCCACTGCACTCCACCCTGGGCGACAGAGTGAGACTCCAACTCAATAAATATATATATTTTTTTCAAGATGACAATTAATACATATAGGTGCAAAATATGTTTACATAACTCTGTGAAACATGACCTCATTGAGATCAAATGACGTTTTGAAAATTGTTTTTACCTTTTATTTTATGTTTTTATTTGGACATAAAAATGAAACAATAGCTATTAATGTGTTGGCTCCTGTAGTAGAAAAATGCCCAAAGACTGCTGGTTTTCACATAGAAAATCAGTTAATTCCAGAAATAGACTGTTTTCGCTCCAAGTATTGATATGTATGTTCTGTCAGTGCCATCAATGGGAATGAAGTAAAGCTTTTGTAAGTTTATTTTGTCAGAAATGTTGTAAATGCTATTGCAAATAAAAAAGTCCAACTTTGAAGATAAAACTGTTTTTTGTTTTTTTTTTTTTTGCTAAAAGGATGTTATGGTAAAAATCAATGTTCTTATTAACATATGGAACAAATGTTTTGGGAATTTTGTGGTGCATGCAAACAATCTCTGCTTATTCTGCCAGTTGAAATGAAACTGCAGTGGTTAAACTTACTGATACTGATAATATTCAGTTTAACTGAACTACAAAAGTCCTGTGATGAAACTGATATTGAAAAAACATCCTTTAGTGTAACAATGCACACTTTTTGCTGCATGTTGTCTAACAGGATTTTAGAAATATGATTTTGTGAAGAACTGCTTTGCAAATTATCTTAAGTTTCCTACGTAGGCTTAAACATTTTTTAAAAATTGATAACCAGTTCTTATATATATTGGTTAAGTTTTCACTCAAGGTCATTGGAAATACTTAATGTCATTAATGGAATTCTAAAAATCTTCAGTTTTTGAAAATTTGAGAAAATAGCAGTTACTGGAAACAAGTCTTGTAAACAGGAAGACCCTGAAATCTGTCCCTGTAAAAGCAAGGGAAGAACTGAAATAATTAAATGGCAAGAGTTCAAGATTTAATTGGGAAGTTGTCATTTGTAATATGTTATCTATGAAGACTCTTTTGATGGTGCCCTATTTTTAATTAGATAAGTTCATGTTTTATATGTGATTGAAATGACATTGAGAAGGCTCTTGGTATTCCAATATCTAAATTTGATGAAATATTTTTAAACGGATGAATCATTATTTGAAAGTTTTGTCTCAGTAACTACAAAAAAAAAGTTCATTGACTAAAGGGGGAAAGTTAAATACTTGAATTTGAAGTATTTATAAACTTCAGCATAAAAGAGATCATTGGTAATATCCTTCATTTAACAGAATTTTCCCTGAGCTTACCAAGTTGTTCAGAAATACAGAGGTTTTTTTTTTTCATTAAAAAGATTATAGTATACAGAGAAGTAAGTTACAAATGTCAGCAGTTTCATAATTACTAATCATAAGTCATAAGTTTTATTTTGAAATTGACTATAAGCAATTTTATTTTTTAAAAAGCTTAAAAATAATGAGACTATATAAGAATACATTCTCCAGAGAAATACCAGTGCCTTAGTACTAGGGATAGATAGAGTGAAGAAACTGATTCAGTTATATGAATGTGTGGTGAATAATTATTCTGCTCATGTTTTTAGTGCATTATTGTATACAAATATGCTTTTATCTTTTAGAAATGATTTTATTTTTGAAGATATACTTTAGAACTATTTTATAAGCTTGCCAATTTAATTTTTACAATCAGTAAATATTTTAAAAAATCATATAATTTTAATTATTTTAAATGCCCTATCTCATTTTCAAAATTGTCTATGAATATTGTGAAAATATTTAATTTTCTAAAAATTAATTTTGGAAATAGAACTATGAGCAAGATATATCATTCTGCTAACTTAAAAAATCATTGTAATTAAGACTCTTTCTTGCCGAGCTCGGTGGCTCAGCCTGTAATCCCACGCCTTTGGGAGGCTGAGGTGAGTGGATTGCCTGAGCCCGCGGGTTTGAGACCTGCCTGGGCAGCAAGACCTCATCTCTACAATAAATCAAAAAATCAGCTGGGCTTGGTAGTGCATGCCTGTAATTCCGGCTACTCGGAAGGCTGAGGCGGAAGGATTGCTGGAGCCCAGCAGGTCGAGGCTGCGGTGGCTGGGATCGGCCACTGCACTCCAGTCTGGGTGACAGAGTGAGACTCCAACTCAAAAAAAAAAAAAAAAAAAAGACTCTTTCTTTGATTTATTTTACTTGTAGATTTTAAATCTCAACACTCAAATGAACTTTAGAATTAACCCACTTGTAAATTTTGTCTCTGCATTTGCAAATACTGATGGTTAACTGGGTTTACCAGGTTTTCTCAGCAAGTTAATCACACAATTCAGTATACTACATTTTCTTTTAAGGTGGATTTGAGTTGTATTCCTCACTTGGGGAATATTTTGTTAATTGTCTTTAAAAAATAAATCATAGAATTTTTCTTATTTGTAGCTGAACCAACGTGGTCTAGTAACTAGTGATTTGCAATTGTTGATACCCAAATTCATAATAGATCTGTTAACATTTTCACTTATATTTTTTATAATTCTGATTTAATAAAACTATGTTAATGCTTTTAAAAAACACTGCTAATTAAATAAATAAATAAATAAAAAGCACTGCTACTGAAATAAGGTTGCTTTTTATCTAAATCAATTATCTTAACCAATTATTATTGTAAAAGAGTTTACCACACCATTCCTGTACTTTGACTTATTGTTCTAGAATTGTCATTAACTCTGCCTAACTTTTTTTATTTTTTAGTCTATTTCTAATGTGTCTAAAATTTCTAGTGTCATGTAAATGATTTATTGTTCCTCAGTTTGTTTTTTTTTCATGTATTATAAATTCTGTTTGGCTTATAGCTAAAATTGTACATATGTAGCCTTCTAAGTTAAAACTATGCTTTTTCAGTAAGATGACTGTAGTTTAAAATACAAACCTATTTTGTTAATATTTCAATTTTGGTATAATTATTATTAAAATTATCTCAATATATGCTAATGTAGTACATTCAAAAATTGACTTAGGAAGTCTTATTACAGTGTAAAAGCTACTATAATAAGTTGTTCTCTTACATAAATAAATAAATGACCAATATTACTAGAGGCTATAAGCAGCATGGGGGAAAAATGGAAGAAGTCTTTTATCCTAGTTTTTAGAGGGCATCAGCAGCTTGCTTTTATGAAAAAGTAACAGCTAAATGCACTGCAAATAATTTGCAGTAATCCAGTTCAGTGATTCATGTGTCTGCTTTAATGGGTCATAATTCAGGGTAAAGTAACTGAGTGCAGTCAGAGTGCAGACACTGCTTATGCCAGGGACAGTATCTCTTCATAAAACACACCTCAGGAGAAGCAGTTTGCCAGCCCCCTAATACTCTCTGATGTTTTGATGTCCTGCATATTTTTCCGATTAAGTTTTGAGTGCCATGTTTTTAGTTGTATTTCCACATTCATTATTCTCACGTAGACCCTTCAGCAGGTTTGCCATATATGATTATTTTTTTAATGATGCCTTTCTTTCCACTTCAGCAGTTTAATAATCTAGCACATGGCTGCTTCTCAGTACTCAGCATTCACCTCCCCAATACAGAAGAGGACATGTGCTTTGGCTTCAAAATTCCATTTGCAGCATTAGAAATGCATATTCCCTACGGAACAACATTTGTTTGACATAACCATTCATTTTTATTACCTCTTTAAATATGTTTATCCAGAGTTATCAATAATCATAAATAACTGTATTCTCATCTTGTTCTGTTTTTTTCCAACAGACAAAATTGCTTACCCAGTACATATTAAATCTCGGCAAGTATGATCAAAACTACGACATCAGAGACCGTACAAGATTTATTAGGCAGCTTATTGTTCCGAATGAAAAGAGTGGAGCTTTAAGTAAATATGCCAAAAAAATATTCCTAGCACAAAAACCTGCACCACTGCTTGAATCTCCTTTTAAAGGTATTATTATCGGAGTATAACTACAGAATATATGTTATCTAAAAAATTATGGCAGCATGTCCCCATTTCTAGTGTGCTTAAAATTGATCTCTTAGAAAATATGAGTGATTAGCATATATAAACATTTAAGAACAGTGTGCTATGTACTCATTCATCTGCTCTCCAGAGCAAGTTTTATATTTTTATAGACCTTATTTACCTAAATAATTTCAAGCCTTCTGATTTTATTCTTACTAAACAGTTAAACTGGATGCAGTAAATGAGAGCTGTGTTATTCTTGTAGACATTGACATCATTTCTACTTTAGTTTTATAAGGAATATAATTCATTTTAATAGTTATTAAATATTCTGTGTACACTAATATAAATGTTTTTCAGAGGAATTATTTGTAAAAAATCTCTATATTTAAGTTGGTTTTTCAAAGAGTGAAGTTATTTCTCCCAGCTTTGTAAAAGGACTCACTAAATATTTTTTTTATCAGTTTACAAGTAGCCATTCCAGTTGAAATAAAATGATTATATACCTTGGTCTTCATATTGTTTCTTTTTTAATTGTTGCAAAGCGATAAAAAGCAATTCAGTTTTGTAGAAAAACTATTAAAATTCTGGATGTGTTTGTGCCAAGACATGTATATGGATTGTTTAACTGTGCTGTCATTCTTAATATTCACAGTAAAGTAATTTTTAGAGAAGCTACATTTCAGAGCAACACCTCTAAACACACTGACTGATTAGCTTTTTTATTGACCATTATGGGGGAGATTATTGTAATCTATGGGCTGAAATCAGTTTTTTGACCTATGAAGAGCTTCCTAGTTTATATTTATTCCTTGACATTTGAGGTAATATGCCAATTACCTTGAGCTCTGATTATGATTGTTCTCTGTTATATACAGCTCATATTGTTTATTTTATATTTTTCTCTATTTTTAATAGATAGAGATAATTTCCAGCTTGGCACCTTATCTCATACTCTCAATACTAAAGCTACTGGGTACCTGGAATTATCTAATTGGCCAGAGGTGGCGCCTGACCCATCAGTTCGAAATGTAGAAATAATAGAATTGGTAAGTTGACCTTCCTAAATTAATTTTGTTCAAGCAGTAGGAGATTCTAGGATAACTATTGTTTTATTTGAAAGCTTTTTGAAGATTTGAAAACTGAAAATTGGTCTAGTATTCCTAAATGTAAGAAATATTTATGGGAACTAAATATTATAGTATTCCTGTGCCATTGTGCATGTTCTGTTCTTTTGATTCAAGGAAATAGAGAATTGTATTCTCTGCTTCAGTACCACCCACATTTGTGCTGTTGCATTTGTAGCTGGGTAGATTCAATTTCTAAGGTATTTAGTTTCATTGGATTAGGCTTTTTCTACTTTGTTTAGAGATTTGCAAGCTTCCTGTCAATATTTTTCTAAATAATTTTTGCTGATCTCTTTGGAAAAAACATACAAAGTGTTCCTCAGATTTTCTGGTGAAGCCATTTTAAGTGAAACGTCAGCATAAATAGGGAGCATTATGTACCAAAAATGTCTGACAGGGTACAACTAAAATGAGTAAAACGTTGCTTTTATGTTTAAAAAAACTTGATATACAAATACTCTTTCTAGATCTTTAAAAAAATGCTGGCTATTAAGATAAAAGAATTAATACTCTTTTCCAGTGTTATCTGTTCCTTTCTTATATAGATTTAAAAAATAAGGATTGGGGCCTTCTGATTATATTTAGAGATTATGTGAAATATACCTAATACTTTTTAAAGTAGAATTAATTTTAAAAGAACAGTTAAGAATTATATTCTGGGAACTTTTCTGGTAGAAAAGATATATTGAACTAGCATTCAAATAACCAGAGTTTCTTTTCTTTTTTTTTTTTTTTAACCACTAATTTCCGAGGGAAAGTAAGTTAACCTCCTTGCTCTTAGCTTTTCTGTATACAGTCAAAGAAAACCTTTATTATTTTAAAAGAGTTTGTCTTTTTTTTTTGGAGTCAGGATCTCACTCCGTTGCCCAAGCTGGAGTACAGTGGCATGATCACGACTCATTGCAAATGACCTCATAGGCTCAGGCAATCCTTCTGCCTCTGCCTCCCGGGTAGCTGGAACTAAGGTGCACACCACCACGCCCAGCTATTTTAAAAAAAATTTTTGTAGAGACAAGATCTTACTAAATTGCCTAGGTTGGTCTCAAACTCCTGGGCTTAAGCATCCTCCTGCCTTGACCTCCCAAAGTGTTAGAATTACAGGCATGAATCACCTTGCCCAGCCACTTATTTTCTAAAATGATAGTAGCCACATAATTTAATTCATCTGAAAAATATGTTTCTCTTAATGAGTTCAATGTATTCTGGCTTTGGAGAATGGCCAGAAACAGTAACTAATAATAACTCCATTTTTTTTTGAGTTGGAGTCTCACTCTGTCACCCAGACTGGAGTGCACTGGCTGCTCTCGGCCACCACAGGCTCGACCTGCTGGGCTCCAGCGATCCTTCCACCTCAGCCTTCCAAGTGACTGGAACTACAGGCACGTGCTACCATGCCCAGCTAATTTTTGATTTATTGTAGATATGAGGTCTCGCCAAGTTGCCCAGGCGAGTCTCGAATCCGCGGGCTCCCAAAGCTCTGGGATTACAGGCTGAGCCACTGGGCCCGGCAATAATAACTCCATTTAGGAAACCCTGGTAGTGTACTGTGAGAATGTTTTGTAAATACTGTCTTGCTTAAACCTTATAATGATCATAAATTTTGGTTATTGTTATTCCTGTTTTGCAGATGAGGAAGCCAAGACTGGGAGATCCTAAGTAAATAGCCTAGGTTCACATAGCTAGTTAAGTGATAAAACCAAATTTCAACCTGGGTCTGTCTGAGTCTGTTGTTCACGCTCCTGATATGTTTTATTATGTTATATGAGGAGAGGAAGCCTGAGCTTGTTTGCAAATCTGTATTATCTAGTGCTTAGCACCATCATTTTCATGTTTTGACAAGTGATCTATACTTAGAGATGGCCAAAAAATATGTAAAATTGAACATATGTAAATTTGTGGAAACCAATTACGTGTCTATTCCTCCTTGCAGCAACAGGTTTATTAATTTTTCACTCAAATCAACATATGCATACTCTTCAAAACAATTGCTCTATTGTGCAATGACTGCTGTCAGATACTAGAATGCAAAGAGTATTCTTTGTTATGATCCTTACAACAGATATACTTTCTCTCCTATTGTCTTTTTATACCTGTTTGTTATTTTTATGGTTCTGTTCTTTTTCATTATTGGGTATATAATGTTTTGGCCCAAGTGAACCATTCTTTTATCCTCCCCTGCTTCTTCCCTGTCCACACCTCCCTGCTACCCCACTCCCCTACAAAGAAAGGTTTGTCTTCTCAAAAATAGATAGCAATGCTATGCAGTTTAATTTTGTATTAGCAGTATTTTTATTTTGGCTGACAGATTGGTTGGTTGGCTGGCTTCTTCCATTTTCATGTGCTCTTTTAAGCATTAACTAACTTACACGGATAGTACTTAAATAACCTATTTTCTTATGTTCATTTCACCTGTCCAGTTCAACAGAGACAAATTGATTTGTTTCATTTTGCTGATGGCATTCCTGAAATTGATAATTGGTAACTTACTATGGAGAATCATTATAACTGATGGGACCTGGTTGAAGAGAACTGTCACTGTCCCTTGATGCCACGAAGAAAACAGCTTCAATCCATTGGTGTCTGAGACAAATTGGCTTAAAATTGTACTATAAGGGATACAATTAAGTATAAAAATAATATAGATAGTTTTATTTTCAGATGCAGCTGTAACAGTGCAGAAAATCATGGTCATATTATCCTTCTGCCTCTCACTTTACCTCCCCTCCCCTCCAAAGTCATGGCATTGTATTTCTTTCACATAATACACTATGTTATTCTTGTACTGTAAAGTGATCTTACAGGGTCAAATCCTGTTACTGTTAAATATAACTTAGTAAGAAAAATGGTCTAGCCTTAGATAATCTGATATTTTAATCAAAACAACAGGGAACCTAGTCAGATTGACACTAGAAGTCACTTTGAATTACACGCCACTATTTCCGGGATTTCAGTTATAATGTATATTTATATAATGATATCAGTGAGTTTTGAAGATCTTTAAGAGTGTATTTGCTTAGTTCTAGAAACTCCTTTCTTCTCCCATTACAGAAAGACTGTCTTTTGCATATCAAAAATATTTTGCTTTATAAATATGTCTGTCAATATTTTATCCCTCATAGGAACTTAGTGTCTCTACTCTTCTCTTTTCCCCGTTATTCTTTTTGCTTAGAATGATACTATCATAATCATAAAGGGCCATAATAAAAATTGAAAATATTTTTATTGTTAGTTTTTGGCCCCTTAAAACTTGAGTCTCCATAAATACAGATCCATGGCCATGTCAAGAAGCATGGAAGCCCAGTTTTCCCAAGTTGTTTAATCTTACTAAATTGATCAGTAAACTTTTTGTCAGGCTTCAGAGAAATGTGTTTGTTTGGATTTAAGAAAAATATGAACTTTGTAGTTTGCTAAATAAAGGAGACTTTTTAAAATAGAATAGTGTATTTATCTACATTTGGAGACAGAAGCACTTTAAATACATGTGAAAGAAAGTAGTACTGCTGATCTCATGTAGATATCTTATCATGTAATTTTTACTCATTTTCCTATTATTGTCCAGTTAGCAATTTTCCAGATTACTGAAGCTTATCTCTTTAAGCAGCATACCTTGAGCCCTCCAGATCAGTGGTTTTTTTTAATGTAGCTGCACATTATAATCATGTGGAGACCTTTAAACAAAACAAATTTATGTCAGACCTGCAGCAGAACAATAAAATCAGAATCTCAGGAGGGGAACCCAGGTATTAGTTTTTTAGTATCAATATTTTTATTGTTTATATTACCATTAAAAAATATTCTTAGGTGATTTTAATAAGCATCTGTTGTTTAGAGTCATTAAAAAAAAAAAATTGGAGTCTCACTTTATCACCCAGGCTGGAGTGCAGTGGTACTCTCGTCTGCCTGAACCTTGCAAGTAACTGGAATTACAGGGTGTGCCACCATGGTCAGCTAATTTTTCTTTTTAATTTATTGTAGAGATGAAGTCTTGCCAAGTTGACCAGGCTGGTCTCAAACCCATGGGCTCAAGCAGTCCTCTTGCCTCTGCCTCCCAAAGTGCTGAGATTATAGGCATGAGCCACTGTGCCCGGCCTGAGAACCATTCTTGCATAAGAACTTCTATCATGTTGTAAATTCCCTTACAACAATATATGTGCTCTAGTACATAGACTGGCACGTAGTAGAAACTTACTTAAATATATAATAAATAAATGAGTCTTAACCATTTTGACCTTTTAAAAGTATATACATTTCCCTACTCCTTAAAAGAGAGATGTGAAACATTTAATTTTTTCTTGATGAATTGAGGTCACAATTGTAAAACCAGTTTAATACACTGCATTAAGGCCTTTTAGGGGCTCATGTTAGTGAATACTATTACTAATACTGTACTGAGTAAACACTGAAGTGTTTACTTAAATCCAAACAACATGTTTTCTGAATTTAATATTAAAGTCATTAAAAGACTAATAGATATAAGTAATACCTACTGTGCCAGTAACACTTAGGGAGTATATCAGTGTATAAAATATTTTAAAATCTCTTCACTCCAGAAACTGAATTCTACTAGGAATATACCAACAATTTAAAAAGCAAATAAATTATATAGTATGTTAGTAAGTAATACATGCTGTGATTTAAAAAAGAGAGAATGGTGTTGGGAGTGGGAAAAGCTGGGGGCAAGGCCTAGGGCATTTGGAGGACCAGTAGGGAACAGAACAGGCAAGAGGGTAAGCAGCAGAGGGAAGTCAGAGGAAAGGGGCAGGGGTAGCTGTGGAGCGATGGTTGTGGAGGGCTGTGCAGTCTGTAGTAAGGGCTTCAGCTTTTGTCTGAGTGAAATGGGGAACTATTGCAGGGTTTCAGACCAAAGAGGTGCTTGATCTGACTTGGGTGTTAATAGAATCATTCTAGGTACTGCATAGTGCCAACTGGGGTTGGGACGTTGAGGGGGAAGTAGAAGCACTGTAAGTCCAGAAGAAGATGACTCAGAAGAAGATGACTCATGGTACTGAAGGATTTCTTGGTAGCTTAGATGTTTAGGATGTGAGAGAAAGAGATAAATCATGGATTACCCAGGATTGTTGAGGTTGTCCATACTAAACATACACTTTTCTTTCTTTTCCCTCTTCACCTCAGTGTCAGGCTTTATTAACTCACATTCTTATTGCTGTTATTGTGTCTACTTCTAATGACCCTCACCTATTCTAGGGTATATTTCTTTAGTTTAAATCTTCTGTGAACTAACGATCACAAAAGTTTAAAAAGTAAGTAAAATAAGATTGTTGGTTTAATATAATGGGCTGTGAGTGAGAGTTTATGTTCTTATATTTAGGAGAAAAGTGAATCAACCTGAATGCCAGGACTTCTAATGGCATCTGTGTTGAGACCTTAACTTTTCTTTTGAGTTCACCATTATATTTTTAATGATTAAGTTTCCAAGAAGTCGGAATCTCTTAATGAGAATTCATTTACATTTACTTTGTTTAATTAGGCAAAAGAATGGACCCCAGTAGGAAAAGCAAAGAAAGAAAATTCTGCTAAGAAATTTTATTCTGAATCTGAGGAAGAGGAGGACTCTTCCAATAGCAGCAGTGACAGTGGTGAGTTTTATAATTTATTGGAATATATTTTCACTTAGTAGATAAATACTATACCTCTAAAACAAGACCTACTACATAATACTCAGCAAGTGGTTATAAGTTAAAATTATACTATTAAAATAGCTTTTTTCATTTATATATCGCTGTTCAATTTTCAAAGTAATTTCTAATTACTAAATTCCCATTTTATTTGACAATGCCTCTTGGACACATAGCTAATAAATGGCAGAGCTAAAACGGGAACTCATGCTTTTCTGAATTCTAACCTATACTGCCTGTTACAGCAGTTAGCACATTGGAAAACATGATTTTACACTTGATAAACTTTTAATGGGCTCCTTAAAAGTAACTTTCTTTTATAATGATGTAAAGTTTATTTTAAACCTGGAAGAGTCTTTTTCTCTTCCATTTTATACTCATCTATTTCTGTGTGAACGTGTAAGAGAATAAAGCTAAAATTATTACATCTCTGTGTGCTAAAAAAAAAAAAATTGAGCTAAAGATTGAGGCTAAACGTATGCCATAAAAAGAATACTAAATAGGAAGGACTTAGAAGTTGTGGGTTTAGCTGTGCAAATTGAATAAAGCACCTACCTTTCTCTTATATCTGATAAGTAAAGGGGTAGAGTTAGATGTTTATTTTAAAACCCTTTCATTACTAAAATTCTGTGAATGATTTGCATAGTGAAAATATATTGGAGTCATTTTTCTAATGCTTTTATTAACAGTTAACCTAATAGGCAGATCTGACATCGAGCTTTCTTTAAAATCTTTATTCCTTGGAGAACCAGGGCCCCTCACTGTTACTTGGTTTTTCACTAACCTACTCTACGGTAACTTTCTCCGCCCCCCCTCCCGTTTTCCTTATAAAAATCTTTGTGTTCAGTGTCTGATAAATTAATCTGTGATATATTACTTTCTGAAGTAATGAACTGAAAGTAGAGAAAATATCTAAACCCAGGAAGTTAATGTTAAAAAATATGGAATTTGGGGAATAATGTAGAACTGCAAGGAAGATCTGTTCACATAATTAAGCATGTACCTCTTCATTTTGTACTATATAAATATTTGTCTCCATTATGTTTATTCACAAGCTCATACCTGTTCATGGGCTAACCATTTAAAATACATATTCGAAATTTTTAGTTAATATTGTGGTGTTTAATGGATTTATCTAATCACATATAATAGTGAGTCATGTGGCACGAGTTCCACAGTAGGTACCAGAGGGAGAAAGAAAGGACATTTCTTATTAAAAGCTATTGGATTTTGTCAAAGAAATAGAAATCAAAACTACAATGAGAATACTATCTCACATCAGTAGGGATGGCTATCATTAAAAGGTCAAAAAACAACAGGTGTTGGTGAGACTGTGGAGAAAGGGAACACTTCTGCACTGCTGATGGGAATGTAAGCTAGTTTTAGCTTTTGTGGAAAGCAGTGTGGTGTTTTCTCAACTAAAGATTGAGCTGCCATTTGATCCAGCAATCCCACTTCTGGGAATGTACCCAGAGGAACATAAGTTGTGTTACCAAAAAGACACCTGCACACATGTATTCATTGCAGCACTATTCACAATAGCAAAAACATGGAACTAACCCACATGCCCATTGAAAGTGGACTGGATAAAGAAAATATGGTACATATACACGATGGAATATTATGCAGCCATAAGGAACAAAATCATGTCCTTTGCAACAACATGGTTGCAGCTAGAGACCATCATTCTAAGTGAACTATCACAGAAACAGAAAACTTAATACTGCATGTTCTCACTCTTATGCAGACCCAAGACCTTGGACACAAGCACAAAGGTGGGAACAACTGAAACAGAGCACTGCTAATGGTGGGTGGTGAGGGAGGGAGGATAGGGGTGCACAACTACCTATTGGGTACATGTCCATCACAAGGGGGAGAGAGAGCTCATTAGAAGCCCAAACCTCACCTGCACATAGTTTGCTTACATAGCAAATTGTCATATGTACACCACCACTCTAGAAACTAAAATGTAAAAAAAAATAAATTTAAAAAGTACCCAAAAAAGGAGCTATGAGATTTTATTTACCAGTGAGCAGGTCTTTTTGAGAAAAAACAAATTTCCTTGAGGATTTTACTGACTTGTAAGTTTAAGCAATGGTACCTGAAGTGAGCTAGACTCAGATTCATATTCACTTCCAGGCGATATATAACATGAGAGAGAAACTTAGATACTATAATTGCTTTTCATTGTTTATGGTATAAACTGGTTATCTGACATATGTAGGTGTTTTTAGCTTTGAGTTCAAAAGAGTTTAAAAAGTTTTTACTTAGTTTTGTTTTGCTTTTGTAAGCCTTGGATAAAATATATTTTTCTCTTTGTAAAAAATGACTGTAGGCCAAGTGCAATGACTCACAACTGTAATCCCAGTACTTTGGGAGGCCGAGATGGGAGGATTACTTGAACCCAAGAGTTTGAGACTTGCCTAGTCAACTTAACAAGATCTCATGTCTACAAATAAAATTTGAAATAATTAGCCACGTGTGATGGTGTGTGCCTGTAGTCCCAGCTACTTGGGAGGTGGAGGTAGGAGGATTGCCTGCGCCCAGGGGTTGGAGACTGTGGTGAGCCATGATCGTGCCACTGCCCTCCAGCCTGGATGTCAGAGTGAGTCTCAAAAAAAAAAAAAAAAAAAAAACCAGAAAAGTGATAACTGTGATGAATGCCTTACCTTTTGGCCGTCGCTGTTGTGCTTGCCTTTACATGTTTCAAATACTTAGTCTTCACAGCAGCTCTGTAAAGTAACTCGTATTATCCCAATTTGCTAAAAAGGAACCTAAGACCCAGAGAGGCTGAATAACTTGCTCAGCCTTACAACTGGTAAATGGCAAACCCAGGAATTAAACCTGGACACTCCAGCCTGAGAACCTATGCTTGTACCTCTTGCATGCAATCCTAAAAGAATACAGGCAATCCTAGCTTTTCGCTGGGATGGATCTTCATGAAGCAGATATTATTTACCTATTAGAATAATGTTTTAGTTAAAGGTTATGTTTCTGCCCAAGTATACTTCATTTTGTAGATCACAGGCAGGACAACAGTTTGTCTTTTTATCTAGGGCACAACTTGGTACCTGTCATCATTTTAATTGGTAAAAATTGTTCTTCATTTTAAAAATGCACATAACTACATTCTGTGCATCATATATATTACAATTTATACATAAAACATTTAAAGGTTAACTCATCAGTGTAACTTTATCACCTCCTAGAACTATGGAAAACTCCCGTACTAGATAAAATAAGTAATAATTGTAGTAATTTTGTTTATTGTTGTTGAATGTAGAAGTTATTGAAGGTGATATGAATGACCCATTTTTCTCTCAACATTTGTTCCTAAAAAGATTCAACTGTTTGCCTTCTAAATGAAATTTCCCATGACAAGTAGAAGAATTCAAAATCCCTTTGTAGCCTTGCATCGTTTTTATGTTATACCTTTAAAGAAAGATTTGGCCAGGCTCAATGGCTCATGCCTGTAATCCTAGCATTTTGGGAGGCCAAGACAGGAGGACACTTGAGCCCAGGAGTTCGAGAACAGCGAGACTTCATCTCTAAATTTAAAAACGAGCCAGGAGCACATCTGTAGTTCCAGCTGCTCAGTATGCTGAGGCAGGAGGATCACCTGAATCCAGGAGGTCGAGGTTACAGTGGGTGGTGATCATGCCCCTGCACTCCAGCCTTAGTGACAAAGTGAAACCCCAACTTAAAAAAAAAATTTTTGCTACAGCTGGATTCTTATGGGTTTGAAAACTGGGTTAACTTCAAATTTGGTTCACTTGGTTCATCTTTGCTTTGTTTCTTCCTACTCATTGTCTCTCTCTGCCTGTCTGAGTTCTTCCAAGCTCACTGTGATGAAGGAACCTTTGGGTCTGAATGAATGAAGTATGGAAATAAAACGCTGTATAAGGGATGACCACTCACTAAAATTCAATCTCAGGCTTCATTTGTGAGGAATATTGACAGGTACAGGTGTCCTTATGTATAATTAAACATCTATAAATCAAAGAACATCTGATTCTGCTTTTCAGAGAGTGAATCTAGAAGTGAAAGTGGAGAACAAGGCGAAAGTGGGGAGGAAGGAGATAGCAGTGAGGACAGCAGTGAGGACTCCTCCAGCGAGCCAGAGAGCCAGAGCGCAAGTGAGTCAGGAGCAGAGGATAAAAGAGCAGCCAAGAGGAACTCAAAAACCGCAAGAAAAAGGTAAGTTATTTTGTCAGAATTTCCTTCCAAAAATATTCTGTGGGATTTTCCCCCAGGCAAGTATCTCCCATTAGTTCATAGAATGAGAGAATAAGTGTGTGTATTTTTTCCCAAACAGATATTAAATCTTTTAAAATTAAAGCACTAGTAGCTCACACTCTTTTCCTACTTACAATACTTAGTTTTCATTTTGAACTTGGGCAAATCTTGGGGTTACATTTTGAAAATTGGTATAACCTTGGAAGGCTGAGTTAACTGATCAAGCAGTAGGTGTGAAACACTTAATTACCTTTTGTGACAATTTTGCTGAGGGCTAAAATTATATCCTTCACTTTGCCATTATGTAACTAAGACAATTGATTTTTCTAAATAATGTTATATTAAAAAGATTATGATCCAAAAATTAGAGTCAAGGACTGTGAAGGAAGATGGTCATAAGATATTTAAGCGTTAGCACTTTTTAAGACCTCCCATTATCAACGGCATTATCATGTATTAAAGTGTCATTAAAATTTTGAGTAGTTGGGGCTAATTTCTTGGATTGTGCGACTCTGTTTACCCCACACTGTCAGTGAGTGGCTTCTGCCGCTATGCAGCCTTCCCAGGGCTGCTGCCCCTCATTGATGAGCTTGCAGCTTGGCGCAGTCGTGGCTGACAGCACTGATTGGGCGCAGTACGCTCTCTGCTCCTTTTATTACAGACAGTAATTAAAGCAGCTCGCCCTGCCACTTCCATAACAAACACAGCATAATGCCCTAATTATGACTTTATTAATTTAAGTCAGGATTTAATGATTTTAAAAGTGATTTATATTGTTTTTCCTGTTCAGAACAAATGAAATCTGTAGGTTAAATTAATACAGGCTTTTCATCATTGCAAAGGTAAAAACCTAGTTACCAGTAAATTCTTTTCATTAGATTAACATCTGAAACGCTAAGCAGGAAGGTAAATAATAATTACCATCAAAATTGAGTGATGCATAATAAAGTAACACTTTTGCCTTTAAAATCCTATCTTAAGAGCTAGAAGTTAAATGTATTTAGAATCATTCACTTGTTGCAGGTAGGAGCTACTTGCTGTATATTAGCCCATTTTTAGGGAAATTCTGTCTTTTGGGCTTAATGTAAGCATCTATGATGATATAATTTATAAAATGTATCTTGCTTCTAGAAAGAGGAAGTTTTGTTTAGTGCATGAAATATCTTTTCAGGTAGCAAAAGTCAGTATGCTAGAAATTCAGCATTATGTATTAAGTGTTCCATTATTCTCTTCTTCAGAAATGGACTTCTCTCTTTACCCATGTTTGAATTTAATGGAATTGTTTATTATACCAAAGAGAACCACAGATACATATTAAACCATATTTTTTTAAGTACGTATTTTAATTGACAAATTGGGGATAATAAATTGCCATTCTCTGCTGGACCAAAAAACCCCATATTTTTCAGTCTTCAAATATAATTACATGTGCTCTGAGATGCTACCATGGCTCCATTTTTAATAAACAGCAATCATATTTCCTCCACAAAAATCAATTCTAGGAAATATCGATTCTTCTTTTGCTTCACTGCTCTCCCTCCTGCTGTTTTTCTGCCTGTCTCTTAGAATTTTTTTTTAACTTTGCCAGTATGATAATTTTTTAAAGCTCTTAATAAACTTTAAGCATCTTCAGAACCACCATTTAGTGATCATAAATATTTATGACTAAATTTGAATTTTATACTCCAAAGTATTTTCATTTGAAAGGAGTTAGTATGTATAGTGGGGAAAATATGAACTTTGGAGTGAGACAGACTTGAGTTCCAATTCCAGTTCTGCCCTTCTGTTATGTGTCCTTGAATAAGTTATTTAACCTTATATTACTTTCACTATTGTAAATGGGACAATAATGTACCCAGGAAAAGTACAACTAAGTTAGATAATGGTATGATTTGTATGAAATGCCTACCTTGCTTGACCCAAGATAGATTTTTAGAAAATGTACACACTCACACTGTAGAAACAGAGCTAGACCTTCCATTTTAAGGAAAATATAAAACACCACAGCCATTTCTCATCCCCTAAGAGAAACTTGTTTGGCCATCTCACATGTTAGGTTATTCCTTCTCCTTGGAGAAATGCCTTCCTACCCATCTGCCTGCCTTATTTATTTCTCAACTTATCTGTCTCTTTCTCCAGGAAACATTGCCAATCCTGGTTAATTTTGTTTAAGTGTTTCTCCATATGTTCTCGTGACACACTATACTTTATTACTTATTACTTATCATACTCTATTGTCACTGTCACCTTACTTCTCTGCATCTTCCAATGAACTGTATACTTCATAAGGTAGACAAACAGAGGTCACCTGAATCTTACTAACTATTGTTATCCTTAGCACCTAACATTAGCTCCAACATGTATTCAGTGGTCAGTAAATATTTGAATGTAAGTAAACAAATGAATGGAGTTAACCACTTAGGTGTGATCATTTGGTATTTTAAAAATTTGTATTTGTGGGAGGCTGAGGTGGGAGGATCGTACCAGATGAAGTTAAAGACCAGCCTGGGCAACAAAGTAAGACCCTGTCTCTACAAAAAATTTTTAAAAGTCTGGGCACAGTGGCTCATGCCTATAATCCCAGCACTTTGGGAGACCAAGATGAGAGGATTGCCTGAACCCACAGGTTCAAGACCAGCCTGGGCAACTTGATGAGACTTCATCTCTACAGTAAAAATCAAAAAATTAGCTGGACATGGTAGCGCATGCCTGTAGTTCTGCCTACTTGGAAGTCTGAGATGGAAGGACTGCCTGAGTCCAGCAAGTTGAGGTTGCAGTGGCCATCAGCATGCCACTGCACTCCAGAATGAGACTCCAACTCAGAAAAAAAAGCAAAAACAAAACACTTAAAAAAAAAATTAGTTGGGAGCCATTGTTCACAATAGTGAGAACATGGAACCAACCATGCTGCCCATCAAAAGAGGACTGAATTTTAAAAATATGGTACATATATACGATGGAATATTATGCAGCCATAAAGAAGAGCAAAATCATGAACTTCACAGCAATCTGGATGGAATTAGAGTTTATAATACTGAATGATCTCTCACAGAAACAAAGAGCTGAGTACCGCATGTTCTCACTCATAAGTGAACCTTGAACAACTACCATATTACTGTAGGAAAGAGGTTGAAAGAAGTGAGAAACTGCGGGGAGGGGAATGAGGGGTGGGGAGCTGGGACTGACAGTAGTCAATATCCGCCTGGGGAAGGGGGGGGCATACCTCATCAGTAAGGGTACCTGCACAATGAACATTTGTATGCCTAACCCTGAATTGTAGCCCACAATTTCAAAATAAATATTAAAAGAAAAAATAAATAAATAAAAATCAGCTGGGAGTGTGTACTTGTGATTCCAGCTACTCAGGAGGCTGACGTAGGAGGATCCCAGGAGTTTGAGTTTACAGTGAACTATGATCATGCCACTGTGCTCCAGCCTGGGGGACAGAGCAAGATTCTATCTCAAAAAAAAAAAAAAAATGATTAGCTTACATTTTAGTAAGGCAGTGCATTAGAAGAATTCTCCTTGAACTGGTTAACATTTTCTCATAGACTGTGTTTAAGGTCACATTTGGGAACTTAGGTAAATAATTTTCTTGGACAGAAAAATATGTAAAATACAAATCTACTTTAGCAAAAGTAGACATATAAAGATTTAGCTGTATTAATAAATAGTATTTTGAGACTGCATTTAAAAATGTGTCTAAGTATCAAGTTGTTACTGATAGCACTTAATTCTTGGTAAATCAAACATTCAATATTATTTTCTTTGTTGATTATATTATTTAGTGTTATTTTATGACTTTTTGCATTTTGCGGTGTGTGTGACATATAATTGAGTTTGAATGGATTCTGATTTATTTGGCTAAAGGTAACACTACTTTTATTATCTCATTAATATATTCTGAAATCAAAAGCCATTTTATTGTCTTTTATATAAACTACTTGCATAAAGGATGAAAAGTTGATATTTCAAAATTTATTATTATGTATAGTGATTCTGAAGATGAGAAGGAAAATGAAAAATCTAAAACTGCAGATTCTTCCAATGCTGAATCCAGTTCAATAGAAGAAAGTTCTTCAGATTCTGAATCAGAATCAGAGTCTAACAGTGAATCTGAATCCAGAAGAGTCACTAAGGTGAGAAATTATACATTTGTTACAACTGAAAATAAATATTCTTTTAGCAACTAAAACAAAGAACACCATCTTCATCTACATCTGTGATTTTAGGCTTTTTTTGAGTTGGAGTCTCACTCTGTCACCCAGCCTGGAGTGCAGTGGCCGCTCCTGGCCACCGCAGCCTCGACCTGCTGGGCTCCGGCGATCCTTCTGTCTCAGCCTTCCAGGTAGCTGGAACTACAGGCACGCGCTACCATGCGTGGCTCATTTTAATTTATTGTAGAGATGAGGTGTCGCCAAGTTGCCCAGGTGAGTCTCGAACCCGTGGACTCAGGTAATCCACTCACCTCAACGTCCCAAAACGCTGGGATTACAGGCTGAACCACCAAACCCGGATGATTTTAGTTTTTCTAATAATCCTTTCTCTTATAACCCAACTCTGCAGAAAAGCTAGAAACTTTTTTTAACCTAATCCCTTGCCACTGAAATCAGAGAACTCAGTGTTATGCGAGTGGCCTTTTTTGTTCTGGCTAGGTTGTAACAAAGTAGGTTCTTGGTAAAGGAGAAGTGAAAGGAAGTCACAAAAATAGTGTAAAGGAATGTAAGCATACATGCACCGTTGAAAATTAAGACTATTAGCTTTTTAAAAATACTGGGTATTTTGGATAACAGGATGTTTTTAAAGCTTTAATTAAAGGGTATAAGTTCTATAACTAGTTAATAAAAATTTGCAGTTAGCCATTTATTTAAAAAACAAATGCAAAAATCACTTAATACTTTTTTACGTAACATTTGCAACACTGAATTTTGTCAGATTATCAGGAAAAAATGGAAGTATAAATTGCAAAAAATGTAGTTATTAATTTAAAATTCAGACCTAATATTAATTACTTATCTGGCCTTTAGTTATCATGCCCTTCTTACAAATAGACCAGGTCAAAGCTAGGCTTTAAGTGCAGTAGTTTTATATATAAACTGTATTGTTTTATTTGTTGAAAATATAGTTAACGTCACTAAGGGTACCTGATCCTAAATCCGGGGAAGCAAGGACCAGTTGGAGACCCAAACTTCACCTGCACATAAACTACTTATGTACCTAATCCTGACTAGTACCCACATCTTTATAATAAAAGAAAAAGAAAGAAAGAAAATATAGTCAAACCCTGCCTTTCATTAAATTCAGTTTCTTCCTAACCCAACATTTTAATATTTATTTATTAGTTCTGTTAACTTGAATTTCTTCATTTTGCCACCTGAGTAGCCAAGGATGAAGATAAATTTATTGAAGTAAACAACTACCCCCTGGTGTCCAGAGATTTATTGTTTAAAGAAAGCATATTTTAGAAATATGCTAATATTTGTCTTACTTTATTTCAAATATTTTCTTGTATATAGAAAAAACTATATTAAACTTGAATTTGTATTTAAAACTTGGGTCTATAGCACAAAATCTAAGATTTTTGTTTTTCAAAAATTCACATTACATCTTAGAGATTTTATTGTTTATAAATCCAGTCACATATGAAAATGTATCACATAGTGAGGTTGGTATACTCTCATTTCCTACTTACATCAAATTACAAAAAATCTTAAAGTGTTGTTTAAAATAAAGAGCTTTAGAAGTTAACCATAAGTTCAACCCAGAATAAGAAATCAGCGTTTTATATTTTAAGGGATGAAACAAGAAACCAGCCCATGTCAAGGAGGTGAAAAAAAGGAGGTTATTCTTAAGAAGTTTTTTTGACAGTTGAAAAATTACAGACTTAAGTGTCTCTGTAGCATTAGAAGCACAGCTTTAGGATCCCATTAAACAACCACTGTGCCAGCCTAGGCGGAGTGGCTCAGCCTGTAATCCCGCGCCTTTGGGAGGCTTAGGTGAGTGGATTGCCTAAACCCACGGGTTCAAGACCCGCCTGGGCAGGCGAGACCTCATCTCTACAATAAATCAAAAAATCAGCCGGGCGTGGTAGCGCATGCCTATAATTCCGGCTACTTGGAAGGCTGAGGCGGAAGGATCACTGGAGCCCAACAGGTCAAGGCTGCAGTGGCTGGGAGCGGCCACTGCACTCCAGTCTGGGTGACAGAGTGAGACTCCAACTCAAAAAAAAACCAAAACAGTAATTAGTTGGGCACAGTGGTACACACCTACAGTCCCAGCTACTCGGGAGGCTCACAGTGAACTGTAGGTCATTGTTTCATTTTGTTTCTTCTTTGTCAAAGACTTTTAGTGATCAGATTAAATATCCTGATAATTAAAAATATTTTACTACAGAACATCCGTGAAAACAAGTCAAACTATTGTAGTAACCTAAGCAAGAATCTTGAGAAATTCAGATTTCACACTCATTATTGATAGTTTTATGTCTATGGGTTTTCCTTAGATGACTTATTTTCTCTATATTAGAATGCCTTTTCCTGTCTATAATAGGCAGATAGGGGTGTGTGTGTGTGTGTGTGTGTGTGTGTGTGTGTGTGTGTGTGTTTTTACTTTAATTTTGCAATTAAAATAAATATTCTATACCTTGGAGCTGCCATAACTACTTATTTATTTCTATTTCTTTCTGAATGATTTGGAGTATACCATACAACTACAAGTATACAGTTTTCTAATAACAGGCAACTCTGTAGTTATGGAAAAGTTTTCCTTGTGTCAAGTGTTGTGGCTTCTGCTCTAAATTATGAGTAATGAAGGCAGATGGTAGGTGCTTTACTTTAATTTAGCATGACAATATGTTAGTGCTAAAAATTCATATGCCTTAAATCTGCAACCTAACTAAACCTATACTTTTACTCTTTCTCTTCCTTTTTTTTTTTTAATCTGGACAATATGTTTTGGGGGCATGACATGAAAATGAGACCTTGAATGTATGACTTTCAAGACAGTTGATATAGGAGGTTCCTTGAATATATGGTTTTCAAAACAGTTAATCTTTAGGTAGTCCTATGAGATAAGTATAATGTTTTACTTGTTGGGAGATAGTACCTTTATGCTTCAGTTTCCTCATCTATAAATAGAAGTAGCTAATACTTTCTTTACTTCTTCATATGTTGTGAAAAATCAAATGTGAAAGATCAACATAAAGTGCTTTATAACTATAAAACTGCAGTTATAAACATTTTAAATGTAAACATTAACTCCATGAAAGATCAACAGTATTGAAATTACAGAACAGCAAATGCAGAAAGGAACCCATTATTTTTTGTAGCTTTTAGTATCCTGCATTTTTTCTTACTCTTTTTACATTAGTTAACTTGTAAATCAGCTTTCAGTCATGACCCCTTACCTACAGCCTGTGAGCTTAGCCACTTTCTTCAGAAGACAATGTCAGGTACTGTCTCCTATCTCTCTTATCTAAGTCAAAATCTCCATTCACTGTTTTTCTTTGAATGTAGCTCTGAGTAAGTGATCCCCACTCACTTAGTCATGAATAAGTCCTATGTACTTTTATCCTTGTTTTGTTAGTAATCATCTGCCTCCTTTGCACCTTTAATCTCTCTTTCTACTAATTGTCTTCTGCCAACCAAAGCACTCAAGTCATTCCCAGCATTTAAAGAGAGGGAACAGGGGATGGAAAAGACGGAGAGTGTAAGTCAGAAAAAATAATCTACATATCCTCTGTCTGTATTTCTTAGCACAATTATTTCTTAGTCTCTCATAAATTGGTTTCCAGCTCTATCATTTGCTATAGATGCTGCTCTCTGAAAAGTCCAATGTGATGCTTCCCCAAACCCAGTGGCCTTCTCTTTGTTGCTACCCATCTTGATCTTTTTGTGTGACTCTTCCCCTACCTTTTGGAACTGAGTCTCTTTTGTTCTGACTTCCTTGACTTTTCATTATTTGGATAGCTTCACTTTTTATCCTCTTCTTGACACCCAAGTTTGAACATTGTCCCAAAATTAGTACATTAGTTTTTCATAATATTAACTAATATGAATGAATTTTTCTTTCATCCTTTTTCTCTAAATTTTTCCTGTTTTGAGATCTCATTCACATCTGTTGCTGCAGCTAAACATTTACGTCAATTACTTACATGATAATATTGCTCAATCTCTATAACAGCTCCAGCTTTCCTTCCCAAATTCAGACCAAATTCTTAGACCTCTCTGGAGCTAGTGGTTTCCAAACCTAATACAGCCAGAAGACATGCTCTACCATTGGGTACCAGCATTTTTTCCATTCTCTGAGATTTGTAGCCTCAGAATTACGTTCCACTCCTGTCATTCTGTATGTTTAGAAGGTTGCCAAGTCCTATAGATTCTGTGTATTATTTCTCATAGGTGTTTCTTCTTTCCTTACTGCTACCACTCTAGATTAGCTCTTCATTCTCTTCGTAGACTGTTGCCATTCGTCATCCTAAAATCATTGCTTTCCTAACCTAAGTCCTCTGTGCAACTGCCAGATTGATACCAACATCCTGTAGTGATGCCCATCTGAGTTCAGTAAACGCCTCAGGTTAGCATGCCCGAACTTGCCTTTGTAGTCGTGACCCACCCTTGTTCTACTACCATGGAATATTTGTGGTTCTCTTAACATGCTGTGTGCTTTCCTATTTCTATGTCTTTGTTCTTTCTTTTTGCATCATTTCTCTTATTATAGAAAATACAAACTGAAGAGAAAGTGGCCCCATATCAGTGTGATCTCTCTTCTTCCCCTACTTGTGAAATGTGGGAAATAAAAAATGTTACTGATGACACAGTATTACTCATGTGAATGGTGCAAGAACAATCAAAAGGGCAAAAATCACTGCTGAGTTGTCTGTGTTCCTAAAGTGCCCTAACATATCCATGAGGCCCAAAACTATGGTCATACATTCAGGTGTCATGTTTGTTTGTATTATTGACCTTATTTGAGGTCCAAAATTGTCAGTGATGACCAAAGAACATTTTCTCGTTTCAGTTAGAGCTATTTTGATGGATGAGCATAGTTTTCTGTGTAGATGTTCTTTTCTGAAATATGCTTAATTGAGAAATATTTTGAGTATAGTCCTTTTAATGAAATAATTCTTTGGACTCATAATACCTATAATAAAATTACTTTTAGTAATTCATACTTTAAGTGCTTTCACATACAGTGTACAGGGGGGAAAATTACAAAGAAGAGTGGAGAGAAAAATCAGTGATGTAGACCACATTGTGTCAGGAACAGATTCACATTCATAACACTTTATCCAGTTTTTTAAACCGTTATAATTAAGTTATATTCTGCTTGTAGTTAAAATTATGTGTTGAACAGATGGTGACAAGTTTATTTAAAATAATGTTTCAAAAATTTCCAGGGTTTTTTTTTTTTTCCTTCCATTTTACCTAGTCTAGGTAAATCACGCTGATCACACTGATATTCAGTGTTCTCATAACTGGCCAGTATATTCTAGTGCTCCGATGTACTATAGCTGTTTCAGCTATCTCCTTGTTAGTCCACTCTTCTTATCTTTTCTGTAATGTAATATTCTACTGAGTCTGTATACCACTTGCTGAAGCTTTAGGTAAAATGATGAAAATTTTAAATCATGATTGAAATTTATTGTGAATAACTTCAATGTATTTTCCTTATGTACATTAACAGCATCTTAATTATATAAGCTACATATAAAACATATCAATGTGAAATAATCACATTGATCAATGTGAAATAATCACATTGATCAATGTGAAATAATCACATTGATCAATGTGAAATAGAGATATAAAGTAATTTAATGTACTTGCACATAATAACACTATTAAGAGCATTTCCATATTTGAATCAAAATTAAGATTAATGCATGTATGAACAATGAAGAAAATAGCATTATTAATATATACATATCAGCGTTTGAGATGCTTTTGTCAGTTGTCTTTATCTCAGGTTATATGTATCTCAAAACTTTGCTAATCTCTTTTTGAGAGGTGCAGAGAAACTGATTAAATCTCTTAAGTGCTCTAAGGACCAGTCAGTCACTACTATTGTGACTGGTGTCTTAATGTCAGTAAATGGTAAGATTAGCTTTACTAAAAGATTTTGGGAATAAAGATCTTTTACTTGAAATATTCTTGGGGATAAAATAGTTTTGGTATGTGTTATGAAATAAACCAGGGATATAAGAGTGAAACAGCTATTTTTTTTTTTATTGGTTTTATATTCTATTTGGGAAACAGGAAACAAGTTTTAAGTGTATTTTTTACAATTATGTATGTTGTAATTATATAACTTTTGTGAATATTGAAGAATATTAGTTTTACAATTTTGAGGCTTGCCTCTTTCAATTTATGTCTGTCTCAATTTAGTTTATATTTTAAATTATCTAAAACAAAAATATCAACTGAGACCTTTGAAATGAAGTGAATACCATTAAGCAAACTTTCTTATTGAAATAGGTATAATCTAATAGGGAAGGATTTGGTTTAGCAGTTTAGACTTCCTAACTTAGAAAAAAGTCTCAATATACGGGCAGTATATCTATTTTATTGTAAAGCACAAGTTTAAGTTTGAGCCTCAGATTTTTAAAATCAAATTTGTCAGTTGACTTGAAAAGGAGACAGTCATTAAATTATCCTTGGTTGGTAATTTTAATTGAAAATATTTTATACAGATATCTTGTCCTGTTGGTCTAGAAATTAGTCTTGAATTGTTGTTGATTTCAGAATACAAACTTTATGTACTATTTATCCTGTTTTATAGTTTTAAATTTCAAATCTCTTTACAGTGGTTTCCTTTTAGGATGCATATTTGATGCTGGTTTTTTTTAAATACTTGCCTTTTTGTTTTTTTTTTAATACTTACCTCATGTCTGTTTTTTTTTTTAATACTTGCCTTTTTGTTTTTAATCAGCATGAAAATGAACATGCATAATACATGAAAAATGTTTTCGAGTATATTGTTACATATTTTTGTTTGTATTATTTGGAGCTTAATAATTATTTCCAGGATCTTTTATTTATTATTTGAAATGAAATACATTAAATAGAAATCAGTTTTTTAACCGTGCGACTTTGTATTTCATTTTGAAAATGTTGATGTGTTGAGGTGTATAACTGAATACCATAGAAACAAAATGGAGATTTGAAGATGATGAATTGATAACTAGGCATTTTTTTATGGTGAGATTTGAAGATCAGTTGCTGTTGTCCTTATAAAAGTCTAATACAGTCGCTCAGCTGTTAAAAACCTAATCCTCTATTTAAAAAAATATACAAAAACAAATTGTCTATCTTTCTGCCTGATCTCTTCTCAAGTACTAACACAATGGAAGCAGTGGGTGATCTGTCAATGTGTTTGGTTTGTCAATGATGGTTTTGTATAAATATTGGGAGGGTAAGAAATAAAATTCATGCAGTAAAATATGATTTCATCTGCCTTTTCTCTGCAGCTCCATGGCTCATGCTGCGGTGTGAAATTCTCATTTTACACACTTTGCAGGCGGAGCACATGAATTATGCATTGAGCAAGAAAAATCTCCTGCCTCAAGTCCTATATGCATTTACCCAGGTTCTGTCTCTATTACCAAGATGAATTGCAAATGGAGAAATGTTTGATGGAATAGAGCTCTTAACTTCTTTGTTTAGAATTCAGATTTTTATTTTTATAGTAGAGCCTTTAAGTTTGAGAATGTTTTGAACTTACTATGGATTTTTTAAAAATGAAAAATGAAATATAATATAAGAGAGGAATACCAAACACATCACGAAGCATTTTATAGCCTTGATTCGGAATGCAAGGCTTTTTCAATTCGGTAGAAATGACCATTATCTGTTGCTAATGTTGTATTTTAGTCACTGGTTATTTGCTGTTCTCAGAAAGTCAGTGAAATTCTGTCCTTTTGAAAGCTTTTTTCCTTCTCTCTGTTCTAGGCTTCTAATAAGAGATTATGCCAATTTCACATGCAGCTCTGTTCTGTGTTGTAGGTAACTTGATGTGTATTTAATAGATATTGTTACACACTCTTGGCTGTGAAGTAGAAAATAAGGTATAGACTTGCTTTCCACTTTAACTTTATCTTGATTTGATAGGTTTCTCATTTTTCAGGTGGGGAGGTTACAGTTTCATAAAGACAGTCATGCACCATTGTAGCTTATAGGAAGCTATACCCATTATGTTCAGCAGAGAATTTTGATAAGTCACATGATGATAAGCTCTTTTTGTTATATGTTCTTTCTTCACAGGAGTGATATTCTAGTTGAGATGACATTTTTATTCTGAACCTGTTTTCATTTACTTGCAACTTTTAAATTTCAGCCTCAAAGCTAACATTTCTTCTAATTTTTTCTCTATTCCTAAACATTGTTATTCCTTTGAGGAGTGGGCAAATAGTGTTTGTTTTGTTTTAAAATAAGAAATGAAAACTAAAACTTGTTTAGATGGTTTGGAATTTTCAGTGGTAAAAATAATTATTTTTAAGAAAAAAATCAGTGCTGTTATTTTAGTGTTAAAGTATACTATTATATAGTTTTTGAAGTTTCCAAGTATTGGCATAAGGGAATACTCCTTTCTGAGTACTGGCATAAGAAGAAAAGAAAGCAGAGTTTAAATCATTTTTAGATGTTATATACATATAATTGTATGTAATGCTCTTGTTCATGTATGAGTATAAGAGCACTAACACTGTGTAATCTTTAAATTGTGGTAATAAACCTCTTTCTTCAGTGATACCTTTTCTTAGCTACAGGGGTACTTCAAAAATATTTATAATGTATTAACAATAAAGTATAAACTTGTTTGGTAGATTATAAGTTATTTGAAGGCAGGACCATGTCTGTCTTGGCCATTATTTCCATTGCTTAGCACAGAATCTGATACACATGTAACATTCTGTACAAACCAATTGAATGAATGAATAAACGAACAAACAAAACATGTCAGTACAAACTTGAGTTTTGGCCTTTAATTTAAGAAGATTTAATGTCAAAAAAAAAAAGTATAGATTATAAAGATAGGAAACTGACCCAAATACATCTGTTTAACACTTACTCTTTGTGGGTCTTTAGTTGTTTGTAATGCTATTCAGTACTGCACTTAATTTATACTTCTTCCTTTTTTAAAGATTTATAATATGTTCTGAATCTCTAAACAAACTGTGAACATCACAGGCTTTAGGGCATTGCATTTTAGTCCATGAGTACACATATTTTGTAAATACAGTAAACTGAATATGCAGATCTCTGTTGGGGGAAACCTTAATTATGTACAGATATGTTTTGAAATATTTAGTCTCCCTACTAAACAATAGAGAAAGTAAGTGAATCCTTTTCAACCCTAAAAGAGCGAGAGGCTGTGAATTTTGTTTATAGATTTTAATGAGTAACTTTGGCAAAGAAAGTATTGAAATATAAAGTACCTATTACAATATCTGTCACAAACTACTTCAGAAAAGGCTAACCTATCACAAGCCTGTCAACAATCACAAAGCTATGCGTATGATATTTGAGTGTTTCTTTTTCTTTTTTTTATTTTAAAGATATGGGGTACAATTCAGGATTAGTTATACAAGTGGTCCTCGCACAAAGTTTGGACCTCCCTTTGGTGCCCACTTTGCCTGGTTTGAGTTCAGGTACCTTTACTGATGTTGTGCCCCTCGCCACTCTGCCCTAGCAATAGCCTGCTACTGCCAGTCCCTTTCTTAGTGTTTCTTTTTCTTAAGTAAGCCTGCTTAAAAATTATTTTCAAGACTAGTTATGTACTGTCTACCAAAGAGCCACTTTACATTTTTATGTTAGCAAAAATTTTGTTCAGATTACAATTATTTCTTACCTATAAATCTTCTTCTGAAGGTTCTTTAAGCACAAGGTATTTTAAATAATTAACAGTTTGCATGGGAAGAAATACTCTGTGCTGAGACAGAAATTTTGATTTAAAAAAACCATTTCATGTAACCACACAGAAGCTTAATTTGTCTGTTGGTAAGTCTAAGAGAAAAAAATGTTTTGTTTTAGAATATTGAGGACTATTCCATAGATTTTTAAACTAAACGTACAATAAATTGTTTTTTATTTTCTAGGAGAAAGGAAAAAAAACAAAGCAAGGCAGAAATGCTCTTACCAATAATGTTTCACTTCTAGATCTGGATGATTGTAAGTATTATAATTAAAATTCTTTCTTTTGTGCTTAGTAGGAGTTTTTTTTTTTTTAATAGTATTTTCCATGTACATGTCCCAAAATATGTTAGCATTTAAAGTGTAAAGTTTATAGGTGAATTAGGAAAGAAAATTTTGAAAATCAGTACTGTTAGTGTCTTACATCTGTTCAGCATATCAGTTTTGTATCACATGAATAAATAGACATGGTCAAATGAAAATGCACCAAATTTATTTTAAAATATTTTGCTTTAGTAATTTGTACTTACTTTGTTAAATAATCATGCATATCTTACAGCTTCTACATTGTGAATTGTTGATTATCTAACTTTAGGAGGTAGGGATTAGGAACAGAAATTGAAATATAAAAAAAAAAAAAATCACCATTTTCTACTTGCCATGGGAATGGAAATGGGTTACAAAACCTTTAGAGGCAGTTTGGCTGTACCTATCAATATTCTGTTTATTCAATTTATTTATTTATTTATTTATGAGTTGGAGTTTTACTTCATCGCCCAACTGAAGTGCAGTAGCTCGCTCATGGCCATCCCAGTGCCAAAATGCTGGTTTGTTTGTTTGTTTATTTATTTATTTATTTATTTATGAGTTGGAGTTTTAGTTCATCGCCCAACTGAAGTGCAGTAGCTCGCTCATGGCCATCCCAGTGCCAAAATGCTGGGCTGTGGCCATCCTTCTGCCTCAGCCTTCCGTAGCCAGAACTATGGGTGCATGCTACTATGCCCAGCTAATTTATTTATCGCCGGATTGCCCGGGTTGGTCTTGAACCCATGGGCTCAGGCAATCCACTCGCCTTGGCCTCCCAAAGTCCTGGGATTACAGGCTGAGTCACCAAGCCTGGCCCAATATTTTAACTGCAAAAAATCTTTGTCCCAACAAATCTACTTCTAAGAATTCAGAATATTACAAATATACTCACCCAAGTATGCAAAGACATATATTCACCACCTCCTCTGAAATCCTCCTGTGTTTGAGAGAGAGATAGTGGAACTAACTCTGTTGCACTATAAGAAAAGTAACAACAAGTAGGATTTCACAAATATTCAACTGCTGTTATTTTTGACGGAATTTTTCTATGTTGGGATTGAGTTATGTTTTTAGGTTGCCTCATTCTGGCATAGATCTGAATGTTTATTTGTTTACCTGCCCTGTCTCCAATAACCATGCAAATTTTTAATACAGAGAAATTAAAATATGTAATACAGAGAAATAACATAGAGAAATTTAAAATTGGACCCAAATTTGAATCATGTTTTACCTATTGGGTAAGACTTTGAGATTTGGTACTATCCAGTGTGCTAGTATGGAGAGATATATATATATATATATATATATATATATATATATATATATATATATATATATATGACAGAGATATAAATAGGTATAGCTTTTTGGAGTCATTTTAGCAATATCTATCAAAACTTAAATTGCACATACTCTTTGACCTAGCAGTTCTTTTCTAAAAGTTTGTCCTGCTGAAAAACTACTTGATATAGTCAGATCTGACTTTTTTATTTGAAGCCTTTGATTTCAATGACTTGATTTTGCATTTAGATTGAAGTCCATACTCCTTCTCCAGGATTCTAAGACCACAGATGATCTGTCTCCTGCCTACCTCTTACCCACATTTCAAACTATTCTGCTTTTTTGCATTTCTTAAACATAGCAGGCTCATTCCTGCCAAAAGCCTCTGAGAACAGTTCCCCCAGGTCATCTCATGGCAGGCTATACCTATCAATATTTTAACTACAAAAATTTTTAATTAAAATTTTAATTTTTTTATCTTTCAGGTCTCAACTCAAAAGTTACCTATTCTTATATACTGGGCTACTACAAAACCATTTATGGCCAGTCACAGTGGCTCACGGCTAGAATCCCAGCACTTTGGGAAGCCAGGGTGGGAAGATTGCTTGAGGCCAGGAGTTTAAAACCAGGCTGGGCAACACAGTGAGATCCCATCTCTAGAGAAACATGTTAAAAAATTAGCTGGACATGGTGGCACATATCCATAGTTTCAGCTACTCTTGAGGCTGTTGTGGGAGGATCACTTGATCCCAGGAGTTAGAGGTTACAGTGAGCTGTGATTGTGCCAGCCTGAGCAGCAGAGCAAGATCTTGTCTCTTTAAAAAAAAAAAAAAAGTGTGTTCTGTATGTAGACACAAAAGTTTTTCTTAAAAATTAAGTTTTTCTTAATTTTAAGAAAACCTTTTTCCAACCTACATTTTTAAACTCAAGATAGCATATAGTATTTCTCTTTGGTTTTAATAGTCAAGTGCTATTTCTTTCTTTTTTTTTTTCTGAGTCATCTTTATTTATTTTAATTTATTTTCTTATTATAGAAAATATATTCTAATACTCACTTGTGGGGTACAAGTGAGTATTAACTACATAAGTAAGCTGCATGCAGGTGAAGCTTGGACTTTTAACTGGCCCTCACTCCCCTGTTAGTGGACTGGGTGCCTTTTGTGTTGTCATGTCCTTTCCCCCCAATTCCTTCCTCCCCTAGCAGTACCCTGCAACTGCCTATCCCACCCTTGTGATAATGTGACTAGTGTTCAGGGCCCATTATGAGTGAGAACATACAGTATTCAGTTCACTTAGTATGATGATCTCCACCTCCATCCAAGTTGCTGCCAAGTCCATGATTTTGTTCTTCTTTATGACTGCATAATACTCCATGGTATATATGTACCCCATTTTCTTCATCCAACCCACTTTGAATGGGCAGCAGGGTTGGTTCTGTGTTTTTGCTATTGTCAATAGTGTGGCAATAACATGCATGTGCAGGTGTATTTGGTAGAGTGATTTATGATCTTCTAGTATATTCCCAGAAAAGAGATTGCTGGAGCAATTTTTAGTTCTTTTAGGAATTACCACACTATTTTTCATAGAGGTTGAACTAGCTTGTACTCCCACCAACAGTGCAGAAATGTTCCCTTTTCTCTGCACCCATGCCAGCACCTGTTGTTTTTTGACTTATTAATGACAGCCATCCTTATTGGAGTTAGGTATCTCATTGTAGTTTTGATTTGCATTTCTCTGGTGATTAGTGAGACTGAGCATTTTTTTCATGTGTCTGTTGGCTGCTTTTGTGTTGTCTTTTGAAAAGTGTCTGTTCGTGTCCTTTGCTCATTTTTTAATGGGTTTTTTTCCCCCTTTCACTTTTAGTTCTTTGTGGATCATGATGTTAGGCCTTTGCCAGATACATAATTTGTAAATATTTTTTTCCCGTTCTGTGAGTTTTCTCTTTCCTTTCTTGATGGTTTCTTTTGCTGTGCAAAAGCTTTTCAGTTTGGTTAGGTCCCACTTGTCTATCTTAGCTTTTATGGCATTAGCTTTTGAGGATTTGGTCAAGAATTTGTTGCCCACCCTAAGGTGTGTAAGGGCGTTTTCTTCCAGGATTATTACGGTTTGAGGTTTTATGTTTACGTCTTTGATCCATTTTGAGTTGATTTTTGGATATGGTGATAAGTAGAGATCCAGTTTCAATCTTCTGCATGTGGTTAGCCAGTTTTCCCAGCACCATTTGCTGAATATGGTCTCCTTTCCCCAATGATTGTTATTGGTGGCATTGTTGAAGGTAAGTTGGTCGAGAGACCATATTTTTATTTCCAGAACTTCTGTCCTTTTCCATTGTTCTGTGTGCCTGTTCCTGTACCAATACCATGCAGTCTTGGTTATTGTAGCCTTATATGATTTAAAACCTGGAAGTGTGATACCTCTCACTTTCTTCCTTTTACTTAGGATTGTTTTGGTTATTCGTGCTCTTTTCTGTTTCCATATGAATTTCTATATTGTCATTTTCAGGTCTGAGAAAAATGATGGTGGTAATTTGACAGGTACTGCATTGAATCTGTAGATTGCCTTTGGTAAGATGGGCATCTTGACAAGATTGATTCTTCCAATTCGTGAGCATGGGGTGCTTTTCCATTTGTTGTGTCATCCTTGATTTCTTTGAGCAGTATTTTATAGTTTTCATTGTAAAGCTCTTTCATTTCTCCGATTAGGTGGATGCCAAGGTCTTTCTTTTTTGTGTGTGGCTAATGTGAATGGGATTGCGTTTTTTATTTGCTTCTCCACCTACTTGGTGGTGGTGTAGAGAAATGCAACTGTGTTTTGCATGTTGATTTTGTTTCCTGAGACTTCTAAAGTTTTTTATCAGTGTGAGGAGGCTTCTGACAGACTCCTTAGGATTTTGTAGGTATAGAATCATATCTTCCACAAAGAAGGATAGCTTTTGTGTGTGTGAGTTGTTGCCCGGGCTGGAGTGCAATGGCACACTCACCACCACCCCAGTGTCACCCTGCTGGGCCCCGCAGTCCTTCCGCATCAGCCTTCCAAGTAGCCGGAACTATAGGCACGTGCTACCACTCCTGGCTAATTTTTGATTTATTGTAGAGATGAAGTCTCGTCAAGTTGTTTTGGTCTCAAACCCACGGGCTCAGGCAGTCCACTCGCCTCAACCTCCCAAAGTGCTGGGATTATAGGCTGAGCCACCGAGCCCGACTAAGAGGGATAGCTAGAATTCCTCTTTTCCTATTTGGATATCCCCGATTTTCTTCTCTTGACTGATTACTCTAGCTAGGACTTCCAGCACTATGTTGAATAGAAGGGGTGAGAGTAGGCATCCTCGCCTTGTTCCAGTTCATTGGGGGAATGCTTCCAGCTTCTGCCTATTGAGCAAAATGTTGGCTGCGAGGTTATCATAGATGGCTCTTACTGTTTTGAGGAATATTCCTTCTGTGCCAGGTCTGCATATCAGTATGATGTTGGTTTCATAAAATAAGTTGGGGATAATTCCATCGTTCTTAATTGCCTGGAATACTTGTTCAAGGATTTTCATCAAGAAAGCATGCTGGGTTTTGTTGAATGCTTTTTCTGTGGCTAATGAGATCATTGTGTGGTTCTTGGTTTTACATTGTTAACGTACCTGTGTCCCAGGAATGAAACCTACCTGGTCATGGTTGATGATCCTT